AGAAACAGGCTTGTAACATAGCTTACAAATAGGATTGTTTTCCTGGCCAGTAAGAGGCTTGTTGTCTGGTCCAGCCTTTAGTCCAAAATGAGTCCAGACGGGGCTTATAGTATTCTTCTTAGCCACTAAAACTAAGCCGCCTCCTCCTTCCCTTGTTTCGTTAGTAGTTTCTGGACTTTCTTCTACTAATTGGTCAACATCACGGCCTGAGTGAGGACCACCATGTGGAGTTGCCATTTTAATTTACTTTCTAATTAACACCCAAAGTACATTGCGCATGCGCAATTATGCCACGTGGGCGATATATCGTTCATAGCGATAATATCACGGAGGAAAAAGAATGCGATACAATATATCGATGCAATAATTACCGCGATAATATCGACTTCACGGTATATTGCCCAACCCTAGGATGCATTTTCTATTGTTGTTAATGTTGTATTTGTTTCATGTGCTGTAGGTATGGGATGAAATGGAGCAGCGTCTACATGTGGGCCCACCGGAGGCCGGGAGTGAGAGGGAGAGGATTTTCAATGAGTCTCTTGGTCTTGTTAGAGATGTCATACTCTCTGTGGTGAAGAAGAGGAAGGACGGGACTGAGACTGAAGAAGTACCTTTTGTCGATGCATTGCTTCAGTCACAAGTACCTGATGACCAGGTTAATAATAATAATAATATATACAGGCCCAAATTTCATCAAAATTGACTAGGAGAGAATTATTCATTTTTATAATTTTTTCTGATAAATATACATAGTCTTATGTTGCGTAGAAAGTTTGAGCTGGTTCCGATCAAAATTAGATTTTTTATGAATTTTTTTAAGTTGTTAAAAAATTAGGCCAAAGTCCCTGTACTATAGTACAGGGGGTTTGGCCAAATTTTGCCAAAAATGACTAGGTGAGAATTCTCTATTTTTATAATTTTTTCTGATACATATACATGTTCTTATGCTGTGTAGCAAGTTTGAGCTGATTCCAATCAAAATTGGATTTTTTACGAATTTTTAAAGTTACTCAAAATTTGAGCGAAAGTCCCTGTACTATAGTACAGGGATTTTGGCCAAATTTTGCCAAAAATGACTAGGAAAAAATTTTCCATTTTTATAATTTTTTTCTGATACATATACATGTTTTTATGTTGCGTAGAAAGTTTTAGCTGGTTTCAATCAACATTAAATTTTTTATGAATTTTTTAAGTTGCTCAAAAATTAGGCCAAAGTCCCTGTACTAAACATAAAAAATTTAAAAAAACAAGATGAAGTAGGATTCCGAATGACCAAC